ATGATGGTTCGGAAGGCGGACAAAGTTAATTGTCGGCTTGCGAGGCGAGGGAGAGGTGGACAGAGAGACGACGGTTGGTACAGTCCGGGTGCTGCAGTTGGTCCGAAGGTGTCTAACAAGTCCAATTATCGTCTGGAATGTCCGTTGACATTTTGTGCAGGTTGGAAGTGGTTGGGCGTTGGCGTTGGGGCGGCGGTGGCGACGGCGGCAGTTGAGATTTGCGTGTCTCGCGTTTGGCTTTGGCAGCGGTGATGCGGTTGGCTTCGAAGATGACTGCGCCTGTCTTCACTGTTCTACATCAGGTAGGTCGTTCCCAAGCAATGTCTTTCCAGTTTGCCGGGTTGATCTGCAGGCGCTTCACGGAGGTTTTCAGAGAACCGTTTTAGCGCCGGACTTGACCTGGTCGGCATTAACCCGTCGCGACGTCTCCATAGAAGAGTCTTTTGGGTAGCCTCCTGTCGTCCATCCGTATGTGATGGCCGCTCTATCGTTGTTGTAGTTGTCTCAGCATAGTGTAGATGCCGAGGATTCTCGTCCGCTCCGGTATGTCAGTGTCTAAGATCCAGTTCTACCACCTCAGCTTCAGTATTCGATGAAGACAACTGAGATGGGAGTGGTTGAGTCTGCGTGCCTGCTTCATGTACACCGTCCAGGTCTCTGTTCCATAGAGCACCGTCAGGATGATGATGGCCTTGTACGTTTCCAGTTTCGTGCTGAGTTGAAGACCGTGGCGATTCCAAACTGTGTTTTGGAGACGACCAAAGGCTTTACTGGTCTTGAAGATTCGGCGGGCTACTTCGCTGTCGATCTTGGTGACGAACAGATACGTGAAATTGTCCACCACGTGCAGCTGGGTTCCGTTCACGGTGATTTGCGGCGCATTGTGGGCAGTGTTGGGGGGTGGCAGGTGCATGACCTCCGTCTTCTCCGTGTTGATGATCTGGCCGAAGTTCTCGCAGGCAGCGGAGAAGAAATCCATGCTCCTTTGCACGTCCCCTTCCGAGATGGTGTTGATAGCACAATTGTCGACAAAGAGAAGTTCGTGGACGGTGGTTGTGGATACACGCGACTGAGCGTGCATCCGCTTGTGGTTGAGGCGCTGGCAGTCCGTCTTGTAGGCGATGCGGGTCCCAGGGCGTTCGTCACGATGGGCGTCCATCAGAATGGCAGAGAACATAAGACTGAAGAGGGTGGACGGGAGGACGCAGCCCTGCTTCACTCTGTTGGGTCACTGCGAATGCCTCTGAAACAGTTACATTGTCGGTGACTCGTGCCATCATGCCATCATGAAGCTGACGCACCAGCTGAGTGAATTGTTCGATACATCCGAATTTCTGCATGATTTTCCACAGTCCGTCGCGATTCACCGTGTCGAAGGTTTTTTTCAGATCCAAGACCGTTTGATGTTTCCGTTTTCAAATTTTTATTTCCTTCCCCTCCTTCTAACAGATAGGGAGTTCAAAGGCCCAACACCTACGTTCCCCTCAAATAAACTGGACTGAATTTTGCGTCCTCTCGAACCGCTCGAGGGCCATTGAGTCCTTCATCTATGTAATTTCCTGCCGCGTAGAGCTTAAATGATCCCTTTCCTGCGTAATATGTTTCCATTTGTGTCTATAGTTTCCAGTTTGATCGTTCCATATGCCACGGAGGTTTTTTTTGGCTATCGGGCGTTCTCTGGTGTGTTCTCCAAGAAAGTTAGCGGTAACAGCTGGTCTTTCATTTCCAGTGTGAGCTGAGATAGTTTTGGGCTCTTTCAAGACGTGCAGTGCCTAGGTCGATATCGACCATTGTGGGACAATGGGCTGAATACATTGGGGTCTGAACATACTCCGGTCATCTCCCGTAGCGGATCAGTCGTTGATGGGTACTTAATTGAGGGTAACCATTGGCTCTATACCGGCGCGTTGAGACGCACTGCAGTGAAATGAAAGACAAGGTTACTGAATTACAATATCTTCGACGGGTAATGAGAGCCAATGGTTACCCGTGCAACTTTGTCAACCAGTGCATACGAAGACTACGCCAGAGACCAAATCCACCCGACCCCAAATTTTGGTGGGCTCTTCCGTACGTGAAGAAGGTCTCAGAAGCCGTCAGTCGTCTTCTCACTCCAGTTGGAATTGGGGTTGCACACAGGCCGGAAGGATCCATTAGGCGCCAAGTCATGAGGCCAATAGACCCGCTGCCATGGCAGGAAACGTCTGGAGTCGTTTACCGGATCCGGTGCAATTGCGGACAAAGCAACTATATCAGAGAAACTGGGAGATTACTCCGTACGCGAATTGCCGAGCACTTAGCAGCAGTGAGCGGGGAGACGCTAACTCTCAGGTGGCGGCACACTCGACGGAACCCGGCCATATTTTCAAATTTCAAGAGGCTGAAATCCTCGCAAGGGGTGACAACCGCGTGAACCGCGAGCTGCTCGAGTCATGGTTCTCAGGCCCGCAATCCATCAACAAGCGCAATGACCTTCCGGTACCATATTCCGTACTGCGATTTTCCCTGGGCAGGGGAATCAGTCACGTGGGAAGGGCGCGGGCGAGTAATTATCTCAGTGGCAGTGAGCCAATTTGCCGAGCAATCATCACACCAGCATCCAGAACGCAGGACGAAATCACGGCCATTAACGTCTCGGACTCGGACTGACAAGCCGCCACCACATCAATTACGACCCCAACGGTGATTGCGAGAGCTGTTAATTACAGCGTGCATATGGTCCCACGGCAGCCCCGTGCTATAAATGATGCACTCCATGTGCCACCATCACCTTTATCTGCGACTGCCTCTGATGATGGATTCGAGTGAGAATCCGAAACGTCAGGCCAATCAATTTCTTGTTCCAGTGACCGCATCTTCGTCTTCTGAACTGCTACCTGGAACCCGCCTGTTCGCTTTTATCAACTTCCATCTTCATGAAATCCTGCGCCAGAACACCGACGGCTGCAGCATGCTGTCACGTTTCTCCTCATTAATACCTACATCACACATGAGCACACCCGACATCACAAAACGCAAGCACGCCTCTGGCACTTCTCACGTGTTCCTCGACTCCCACTCCTTGTGGCTCCTCTGTAGCAAGTACGGTCCGAGCCTGAGACTATCACAGTTGTAGCGACTAAGCGGTGATGGTGTACTCTCAGTACGCCACAACTTCAGGCCATATCCCAAGTTGTTAGAAGCAGGACGCCATTTGGTTAGGACACTTTATTCTGTACAGAATAGTGAAGGAGAGAGTTGGCAACCGGACAAGGATGCGTCCGGCGCCGCGGAGGCGGCGTCCGCGAGAGCGACGAGCCCTGTGTCACCGAAAGTCGCCGCTGCAAAGGTGTTGTGGCCTTCTTGCCTCTGTGCTGTCTGTTCCAAATCACGCCCGCAAGGGCGGCGTCCCGTGTGTGCACTTGTAACCGATCAGCGATAGAAAGTTGCGTTGATTGGCTCCGAGCCCACGCAAAGGTGGTGGCAAGCTTCGCATGGTGTAGGCCGAGAATCGACCAGGTGCGTGATGCAGACAGTGAATTGCAAAGAGACAAATCGAAGCGGGGCAGACGTGCGTACCATAGCAGGCTGTCGCTAGGTGCAGGCGCTAACGAGAGGCGCGACGTAGCCATTATGGCTGTCCACTACACAGTGCGCTATGGCTTTGAAGACTGCCAACTGACGATGGTACTCAGACCTCGAAGTCAGCCCAATGTGTGTTTATGAGAAGTGTCCGACTCGTGGACCGAGAGTCAGGCTGCAATGGCCCCTTAATGCGGCTTCTATGGCACTCCTATCTAGTGGGACCCGAGCCATGCCCCCCTTATTGAATGTAAAATCCTGGTCAGCGTACGTTGTGAACCAGGGGATGCTGTAGTGCGAGTTTACGCCGTGCCAGCAACCTTCGTCCTCTCCTGCCTCTGGTCCTTTTGACTCTGTCTTGACACCGGGAGCGGGTGTATGGAGGAGGAGGAGGAGGAGGAGGAGGAGGAGGAGGAGAGGGTATGATAGATTCAACACAAGTTCACCACCATTTTAAACTAATTCACACTCAAGTCACTGTCCCTGCTCTCCCCCTGCTGTGGAGCACACGGTGGACATAGTCGACAAAGACGGCCAGAGTGTCATGTGGGGTAGCCTATTGTTGTTATCGTTTTCTGCAACTCCGGCATTCCAAAACGAACACCCTCATTTATCCCTCCGGTGCACCGTGTACAGTTTCCAGGATTGCGTCGGGCTCACTGTTTTGTTATCAATTGCGGGCAATCCACCGCAATCCTATAGATTGAACACTTAACAACAATAATGAATCTCCTCTTCGTCACAGCCTACCGGCATTGCTGATTGAAGGACGGAAGCCGGGTTATTCGGTTTTGTTTAAAACCCCAGAACTAAGCCCTCGCAGGTGGCTCCACAAATGTTACTGTCAAAGATGCGGGAAATAGAATGGCCAGTTCTGGACCAGTGCAGTCGTCGGCCAACCACTCCCCTATCCCAGACCATGAAGACACAGTAGTCAGACTTTAACGCTTAGGCGGTAAGACACTCGACCAAGTGCTCTAACATGAAGCCAGGGGCTGGAGTCCTGCCCATTACGATAGAGAACATTCTGTCACACACGAGTGGCGTTTGTCAGTCTGTCCTGAATGCAGGTCTGAATTTAAGTGCTCAGCTTGACCATCGTAAGCGACGAGCTCCAGCACTGCCCTACGAAGCGGACGCAACCGCGACTTGCTTCGGAATCTGTTTGCGGTGATCTGGACCTGCGCTGCGTCTATTTTATTCCCCCTCTCTACAACCATCATGTACCCATAGCAAGACAAAGTTCAGAGACCGGGTGTGGGAGTTAGTGTAATTTATGATAAAGCTAAACAGCCCTTTTGCGCATGCCACATACGACCTGGCTCCCAACTCCACACATACCGGTTTTCAGTGAGAGGTTGCGGATCTCACTTAGGTGAGAATGCTAAAAAGACTCCCTTAAGAGGGGAGCCACCATCCCAGTATTGCAGCTGGTTCTAGGGGAATTTCTAAAGGTGAACAATAAACCAGTTTAAACAAGGTCCCACTGAGTTAACCTTGTTCTAGGAAGACTTTTGTGTAGGGTGGCTTCGGTTGCAACAACAAGCCGCGGCGCCAGGGGACAACATGCTCGCCTAACCCATCGATCGGTTGTCCACCTATAAGTGGGAATAAGGTTCTAGCAACCAAGTGTAGACAGGAGTGATTACTGCTGTCAGCCAGTTATGTCCTCGCGTATGCACTGTGATCACAGAACTTCGAGCTACATTGGGAACAGCAGTGATAGAAATTATGTTCGGCACCTGACCCTGAGTGAATCCGAAAGTCCTGCCAGGGACGATAAGCTAATCAGCTCATATCTCCCCTGTGACGGGAACAGATCCTTGTACATTGATTTCGTTTGACTGGTCCCCATTATGCTTGCTAGGGTGTACGACAAGTTTTCAGTTCTGTGGTGCCTGATTTCGGCGGGCCTTTTATTTAGGGAGTACAGGCAACAAACTTGCCCTTCCTTTGTCGGGGTTTCGTGGTGGGCTGCGCAGCGAAGCCCAACAATAACTGACCGCCTCAGTCTCCTCTTCCTCTTTCTCATTGGCAAAAAACGCCCCCAAATTTTTCACCCAAGGTTATGCTGCATATGACTCTCCTTAGGCTTTGTGATGTTATATTAACGGTTTGAAGCTCGTTACTTTATAGTACTTGTACACGGTAGTCTGCTGTCACGGCCGCTACAAGCGGCCCTTATGATATCGATCTCGACCCATTCTGATCTTTAGCCGGTCCAAATAAATCATTGTAGATATTCGGAAACTCTGACAGCAGGCAATGTCACCCTTACTCTGTCCCTTTGGTGACAAATAGATTCCGCAGTATTGGCAATTATTAAATTACTACGCAGATCCGTTTTCCCGTACTCCTCAGCATATGCAATATGTAGGTTAGAATGCTTTGACCCTAATAATGCTATATCACCAGCGTAGTTCGCTAGTCATTCAGCGTCTCGGTGGGGATTCTATGCCGTCAAAACGGTGCACAGTCTATCCAGCAATCCAATCGGTGGAGTAGGCAAGCGGGATGGACGAGTGCATGAAACCTTATCGGACACCAGACCAAATATAGAATGCCTGTTGTGAGCTAGAACTTGCAAATTAGGGGAAAGACCGTAAGTTTTGATCA